CCCTGTAAGTGGCAATGCAAGAGCAGAGCCTTGGGAGGAACCTGGGCCCAAGGAAACAAGACTCTACAAGTCCACAGCCCCCACCTCCCAGGCGAGGCATCTGTTAGAGGCCTTTGGAGATAGATGGGAGACTAGTGCTAAGCAGAATGAAGACTGGGCTTGGAGTCAAGAGGCCAGAATTCTACTCCCCATCCTGCTGCTCACTAACCTCACGATTTGGGGCAAGACAGTTACCCTCCATGGGCCTCAGTTTCCTCACCCATAAAACAAGAGGGAACATTGAGCTGATTGCTAAAGTCCTCTGCAGGGCTGAGATTCTGATTCCTCTGTTCTCAGAAACAAATGCAACATCTTTGTTAATTTCTTGGATTTTTCTTATTATTAAAAGTATCCTTTAACTTTCTTTCCCCATTCTTTGTTAATATTCAAAAAGAAACATTGTCTGTTAGCAATCTTCCTGAGCATGTTCAATTTTTTCAATGAAGTATGGCATGTAATTACCACTTCCTTTGTTCTTTCATTTAATGTTTTGCAGAGAGGGACAAGCACTATCAAAATACATCAAATATTACAAAATGGTAAAAGAGAGAAGTCTTAAAGTCCAAAGTTAAACATGACCATTTTTCAATGTTTAAATGTCTCTATATCCGAGATCTACTGTGACTTCTATAACCTGGTAAGATAGGCATTTTCGTGTAAAATGAGGTTTAGAGAGGTTGACTTATTCAAAGTCACAAAGCAAGTTAGTGGCAAAGTCTAGATCACTGGAATAGATGCCCAATAGTCTTTCTACCATAGATCATTATCTTCCTAGCCAACCTGCCTTTCTAGATTCTCTGCTACTCTTTCTTGGGTTAGAAACGCACACTTTGTACAAAGCAAAGTCAAAACTTATTGCAACAGAACTGCGGCCAGAACTGTACTTGTCCCACTAGGGCCATTGTCCTAAGGTGAAAAATCAATCCTACTCCAAGGCATTCCATCCCCACTGACCCTGAACAGGAGATAGTCATGTCTCAGGTAGACCAGAAAATCCAAAGAGTTCAATCAATGGAATGTTACCAGGAATGTTACAGTTTGGAAGAAACTATGAAAAGAGGGAGTTTTCCTGGTGTTTCCTCACATTGCCTGGATGAATAACTGAATTAGGTGGGACATGCAAGGCAGTCTTCTTACCTACACAGTCAAAAGTCAGCAATAACCTGGCCATTTGTCTCTGGAAATCTGCTTTTGAGGAGGAAGGCAAATGATTTTAAAATGCAGAAAACAGGAAGAAATTCGAGGCAGCATGGCATTAGCCTTCTTATTTCCCCCAAAAGGTCAATAGCCAATCACACCTTCACTGCTGCTTCAGCTTCTGCTACTTCCTATGGCTATCAGGGTGTGTATGTATTTAAATACTTCCAGATTTGCTAATCAGGACATGTGACGCCTTTTTCTCACACATGCCCTAATGAAAGACACAGGAAGCACCCTGCCATTTGCTCAGAATGAAACACATGTGAAGACCCTTCCTCTAAATGAGAATAAGCTTTACCTATGTATTCCCATCAATTTTTCTATCACTGGAACCACAAGTTATGATTTCTAGAATGACAACACAGACAGACCTGCTGGCCTGACTATGACAGGTTATTTATACCGAGTATTCTTTAAGACAAGGCACAGTCAGGACAAATGCAAAATGTTTAAAGGAAACAGATCTATAGGGAAAACAACAGCTCACTTTTGCTTTTCTGGGGTGCTGGGCTAATTGTGAGAACGCAAAGGAAAAGGCCTAAAACCTGGCTACCTCTGTTCAAGACTGGGAATAAAATGTTCCCTTGCTGGGCTTTTAAGAGGTCTCTTTCGAGAGCTCTCTGCAACTTCAGCACCACGGACTCAGCACTGCCCCAAGCTCTCCTGTAACTGACTGTTTTTGCTTTAATTAACCAAGGCTAGGTGGGACAGATTTACTCTATCTCTGTAATGTTACTGTTATCTGCCAGTGGCTAGCAGCAGCTCTTTACCTGTTGCTCTTGATGCCTGGCCTGCACAATTAGCACCTTAATATAGGCCGGCCTCTCATCTAAGTACCATGTGTCTCAATTGAGCACTTTATTTTGTCTTGTTCATGTACTAGTTCAAGAACCTGGGCTCCGCAGTTATAAGAAACCTTAAACTCCTTTTAGGCAGGTGTGTGTTTTCAGTTTCTTATCTCTTCAGGCCCACGAGAACACTAGGGACACAAAGGCATGCAAACAAATACTTCCTGATTGTTTGAAGAGCTTCTAGATATCTATTCTGGGAATAAGCACGTGGTTGGAATCTGGGTCTCCATGCCTACCTCAACCCTCTGTACCTGATCCATTGGGCTTCTCTGCCGTTGAGGGATCTCAGGTACTTTGAGTTAAGCTCTACTTGGTCTATATGTAACCTTTTCCCTTACCTAAAAGAGTTGGCTGAAACAGACACATGAGCTTCCCATCAGCACCACGTTCAATGTTCCTCTAGAAAAAGGAACAGATTCCTTGCTTTTGGAATTAAAACTAACTATAACTTATAGGGCTTTACCACTTCCATAACAAACACAGGCCTCCTTCAAATACTCTGGTGAACAAAATGAAAGGGGACAGCTACATAAGGGGATGGTTAGGAATGCAGGTATGGGAGCTAGGTTTTCTGGTCTCAAATCCTGGCTCTACCACTTACTAGCTGTGTGACCTGAGACCTTGGTCAAGACAGCCTCTCTGCACCTCAGTTTCCCAATCTGTAAAATAGGATAATAGTACCTGCCTCACAGGGCTATTGTTAATAGGACTGAATCAGTTAGTCTTTGTAAAGTGCTTTAGAGCAGTGCTTGGCACATAATAAGCACTATTATGCTTAAGTTACTGTTAGATGAAATTAATAAGAGTACAGAGATTTAGAACAGACAGGCCTATAAATCAGTATGCCTCCAAAAGAATCTGACAGTGATGGGAAAACAAGCAGGTTAACAGAATAATAAGCCATCCTTGGTGTTTTGATTTTCTGGCAAACATACCATCTTTGAATTGCTTCAGTAAACCAAAAAGAACTCTGGATTTATAGGCTTTTGAAATGTCTAACACATTATCACAACATATGTGATAAAAATGTTCTGGCTGCATTCAAGCAAAACAATTAGTGAAGGTGTCATTGTTTTAGTAGAGAATTTTAAATGAACATTCTACTGTTTACACCTCTTATATCTACTTTGTCTAATATGTCAGACATTGTTCATAATGTTATTTAGCAAATACAGCCAACCCTTCTCCAGCAAAGAAACTTAAGTCAATTATCAGGGGAACACTTCAAATGTATGTTCTATATTTTAAGATTCATTGAAAGATGAATCTTTATATAAAGATGAGTCCATGGTATCCGAACTCAGAATTTTCTTTCAGTGTCTTTTCTGATCTATTCACTGCCACTTTTTAAACTCTCAATCTTCTTAGATATCCTAGCTACTAAAATTCCACATCCAGGGCCTCTCCTTTCTGAGCAATCTCTAGCACAAGATACCATTTCTAACATCAGCAGTCCCTTTTTATCTCACCACGGAGGTCCTCTCTAGAATTCAGGCGTCCAACCACACAAAGGCATCTATGTGCCACAACAGGTGGGGGCACCTGTGCTTTCGTTAGGGAGGAAACACTCCCAGTTTCACCTCTCCTAGTTACCCTGGAGGGCAAAGTTCAACACTGCAGGATGTCTTCCCTGTAGGTGCACCTGCAGAGAATTATGTAGAGACATCAGAAACAACTAATGTCCAGTCTACTAAGAAGTGATCATCTATTTTGGGGCTCAGCAGTTTAGTGCTTAAGAATATGGGCAGGTACTTCCTCTCCATACCCTCCTCGGACTGACCTCCCTATCCCACTGTGTTCACTAGTGCCACTGTCATAGCTCTTAACCACCATGTTCTGTGGTTATGCTGGCCCTGGGTCCTTCCCCTCTGCCTGGGGAGCTTCTCTGGGCAGAAGTTGTGCTCCACTTTCTTAGTGTTCCAAAGCCAGCACAAAGCCCATCTATGCTAAGCTCCCAAGAGTTATGTGTGAAACTGTATTTGAGCTACTATCTGAGAAAACCCAAATGTTCTTTGGATGATCAAGCTGTCAAGGGTTACTTTCACTTTTGAGTACAGGGAGGTTCCTCAAAAATGGGGCATTTGGAAAAGTCATCAGACCCCCTCTTTGTTTCTGTCGTTTGGGGTTAACTTTCCCCCATTTATCCACGTGGCCCCTTTAAAATTTTTTCGTGCCCTGTCAGCCCCGCCTTAATGGGCTCCTTCAGTGACCCCACATTCACCTTGCAGGTATCCTTTCTGAATATTCAAGGCCCATTCTTACGTGGCCACGAGCGGGGCTGGCATTTTTTTCGTCCACGGCTCCCAGCGATCACTAGTCACTGCTGGGAAGCGCTGGGAACGCCTGGGCACTGCGCCCCCCCAGCCAGCGCCGACCAAGACTCTCCCCCACTACTCTCTTTGGGACAATGCTCCGGCAGCCACCCGGGGCAAGGGGATCCTGCAAAGGTTCCGGGTCAGCGTTCGGTCAGCCAGCCCCAGAGAGAGCGCGGGGGTGGGGGTGGGGGAATCCCTGGGGTGAAGACGCCTCGGGACTAGTGGGCATTCACTTCTGGCCCAGACCCTTCCCACCGGGAACGACCTAAAGAGGTCTTTATCGCCTCTTTCTTTTCCACCATTCTAGGGGACCAGAGAAATGCAAGACAGGGGGCAGGAAGGAGAGCAAGGAGACGGCCTCTCAGGCCAATCACGACGTCCGCCTCCCCTCACTCGGAGTGAGTCTGTCTCTGTCTGTCTGTCTCTCTCTCTGTCTCTCTCTCTCAACACACACGACCTGCTACTTCAACTTCAGCTCTGAGCAAACTGCGCCGCACGTCTCTCCTACTACGAGTCCTCCAGTTCCGGCCCCGGCCCGTGCCTCTCGTCTCACCCCAGCTTTTTCACCCAATCCCAGTTTCCTCACCCAACTGACCGTGAAGCTGGAGGCAGTTCCCCAGTCCCAGGCCCCCGGTGGGGCTTGGCTGCCGCCGCCGCCGTCGCTCCCCCTGCAGCCCCCGACCCGCGATCCGGCCTCGGGCTGCAGCGATGGCTCCCCGGCACGAGGCGCCGCGGCTCCCTGGACCCGGCCAGACACAGGGCGGCGCGCAAGAGAAGCCCATCGAGCTCCCGGCTGTGGTGGCGGTGGTGGCGGCGGCGGCTGCTGGAGCGGCCGCCGCGCAGGCTGATGACGCATGGGCGCGGAGGGGGCGTGGTCCGCGGGGGAGACGCTGGCAGATGACATCTGGCGGCGGGGAGGCTCGGCAGCATGGCGTTTGTGGCGCTGAGTGAGGCGGAGAAGGTGTACATTGTGCATGGCGTTCAGGTAGCGGCAGCAGCGGTACCGGCGCCGGCCGCAGGGTTCCCCTAGGACTGCGGCTGACTGGGTTTACCTTGTGATTAAACCGCTCGGCGGCCGGCGTGTGCAGATCGAAGCCGGCAATGAGGGTGTATTTGGGACCGGGCGGCGAGAATCCATTTAGGATTTTATGTGTACTTGCTTCTTTCTGGATCTACAAGGTTCCACACCCGGGTAGGAAGCGGTGGGCAGTCCCTGATTCTGTTAAAGACCCTCTCAGCCTTTGAAGGCTGAGCTGTCCCATTTTTGTTAGGTACATATTCTATCATAATTTTTATCCCATTGAATCTTTGTAACAGTCCTGAAGGTAAGTATTATCTCTACTTTACATATAAGGAACTATGCTCAGAGAGGTTAGATCAGTTGTCTGAGGTCACAAAGTAAGTGTGTGGTGGTGTTACCCGAAAACAGCGTTTGCCTCTTGGTGGGTGTCGAGCCAAAAGACACAACCAAGCCAAAGATTGGGAGAAGGAAGGATCTATTAATTGCAGCAAGTGAGGGGAGGCTGAGGATCTTTTCCAAAGCAGTGTCTATCCAGTTAGCAAAACTGGAGAATAAGCTAAGGGCACATGCATATTCATGTAGGGGCTTGAGCAGAGGAGAATTTAGCATAGAATTGGGGCAAAGGTTAACAGCCTCCAAGCTCTAGTTGATTGGAGTCTCCGAAGGTCAAAAAGGTCAACATCATCCTTCCTCAGTTGAGACCAGCTTGGAGTCTTATCCTGTAGTTACCATCCTCTAGCTGGGGGGGCGGGGGGGGGCCTTAGTTCTTGTAGAACAAGTCAAAGATCTGTATCAGATTGTTAAGTAAATACCTTGAGGAAAAACTAGGGCTCTGTCTTATCTCAGCTGTTATTTCTTCACTGCTTTTCCTTTTTTCCTGCATTCTTTACTTCCCTCAAGATCATTGACTACAGAGACCTGTTCAAGGGCAAGCATTATGGTCAGGCTTAGATCACAAAAATGCTTAGGCCTAAAATGGCTTCTCTTATGTCCAGAAAGCCATGCCTGGTTCTCTTTTTCGGGCCCCCTACCCTCTCTGATTAAAGTGGACCTGGGATATAAATCCAGATCTTTCTGATTGCAAAGCCCAACTTGACTTGCATGCCACTTTCCCTTTTTTAAAATAGGGATTCAAAGGCAAAGGCCAGAGAGACTCCCCACTTCTACTTTTCTTTCTTCTGTCTTCTGAAAGCATGTTGGGGAAATAAGGGGGAGGGCAAGTTCTGAACCCCACCATTTTCCTAGACCTTAAATAGTATATTGACATATATTGCTGTATTGTTATCTTTTTAGGTAGTACTTTTTCCCACATTGGTTCAAAGTTTCTTTAGAACCCTATTTTGCATTTCTTTGTACAACTTTTGTTTTACTAACTTGTATCAAACTGGTTTTTATATTCAGGAATTTGGGGGCAGGTGTCAGAATTTCCAGAATTAGCATTTAATCCTCTTTTGGGGTTTGCTTAACTAGCTAAATATGTGCTTCTTCCTCCATGAAGAGACACTGCTAACCTCCGTCTTAGCCCAGTGATTCTGAAACCTTGAAGCGCCTTTTACTCACAAAATACAGCTTCGCGGGCTTTACCTGGACCTTCTGAATCAGAATCTCTGGGGCTGGGGCCTGGGAATGGGTATTTCCATAAATGTTGGGAGATTCTGTTGCAGTCACCAGTTGTTGGGCTATGGGCAAGCCTCTGGCCTGGTCCAGCCTGGAGTCTGCTGCAGAAATCTTTGCCCGGCCCCCTGCCTGAGGTTGTTGCAGGAAGGGGGACCCCTTCCAGGGCCCAAGAGTGGGCTCTTGTCTGACACTCAGAAATGAATTGTCTGAGGGGACACACGTGCTGACAAAGCAAGAGACTTTATTGGGAAGGGGCACCTGGGCAGAGAGCAGCAGCGTAAGGGAACCCAGGAGAACTGCTCTGCCACATGGCTCACATTCTCAGGTTTTATGGTGATGGAGTTAGTTTCTGGGTTGTCTCTGGCCAATCATTCTGACTCAGGGTCCTTCATGGTGGCGTGTGCATCACTCAGCCAAGATGGATTCCAGCGAGGAGGATTCTGGGAGGTTGGTAGGACATATTGACTGGTGTCCTCTCTCCTTTTGACGCTTCCCGAATTCTTGCGGTTGGTGATAGCTTGTTAGTTCCGTGTTCCTTACCAGGACCTCCTGTTGTAAGATAACTCATGCAAATGGTTACTATAAGGTCTGGCCAGGGTGGGCGGTTTCTGACAGTGGTTCCCCTAACAAGGTCACATGACCTCCTGCTTCTGTTTGAGTGAGGACTTGGAGTCAGACTGAGCAGGGATCCTTTCCCGGCTCCACCATTCACAGTAAGAGTGATTCTTACCTGAGTAGGCGAGCTAGCGCCCCCTGTGTAAAATGAGAACACATCCATCTGGGATTGTGAGGAATGATGAGAAAAGAGAATATGGACCACCTGGCACGTGGTCAACCCTGAAGAGAAGTTGGCTCCCTGTCAAGATTTTTCCATCGGAAGTGTGGCTTTGTCCGGAACCATCCATACTATATCCGCAACCTTCCTAGTGACCCCATGTGGGGTTCCGCCTGTGGCTGTTGAGATTTAAGCTCTTTGGATATGGAGGGCTAGAGATTGTTAAATTGTCTCAAGACAAGGGGGATTTGTGGCCAGGCCTAGAAAGTCCCTAGGCAGCTCTGGGGCACTGCCTTTTTAGGGCTCCAGCATGGATCACGTAGACTGTGTGGCTCTGCCTGTCTTTATGTCTCTGGTGACAGCCCTACTTCTCTCTGCTGAAGTGTCTCACTTCACAGCCACTTGCTGTCCAGCTGCCCTCCACCTTGGTACATGCCATCCCCCCACCTTTACTTCTGTGAGGTCTCTCCAGCCTCCCTCCACACCATGACCTGTCAGCTCCTCTTTAACTCCCTTTCCCTCCCAAGTATTTCCCAGATCACAGATCAGATTCCAAGGAGAGAATCAGTTTCACGCCCCAAAGAGCTGGCCACTCTCTGGATTGTATGCCTTTGGGTCAGGCCCTTTGCAAGGTGAGTGGGATCCCATCCTAAAGGAATGCAGGCCCACCCAACAGGCTTGGAAGATGGAACGAGGGCAACATCTCGTTTTGCCTGCTGTGTCTGGGGCCTGGGCCTGCAAAGCTGGCCCTTTCCGAAGTAGGGTGGCTTTCTCGTAGGGGAGGCCATGTGGCCTCAGTTCTCCTCCAGCACGCTCTGCGCTCTTGGACAAGCCAAAGCAAGGTAGTGGGTGGGGGTGGGAGGTGGTTAGCGTCGCCTCAGAGGACTACTTTAAGTCTAAATCCTTGCAAGTGTGTTAGATTAGGAGAGCCAACTGACAACTCCCAGTAGGAAGTAGGACTGGGTTACCTGGGTGTGAGGAACAGCAACTCTGGGTTGGGTCATCTGTCCTGCCACTCTGTCACAAACAGGAGGTTAAACTTGGCACCTCAATGTCCTCGTTTGTAACCTCTCTCCTGGTTGTTTTTGAGCATTCAGTGAGTTAATATGTGCTGCCGGAAGCAGAAGAAGGAGCTGCTGAGCAGGGACTCCTGTGTGCTGCACTGTGCTGAGGATTCTCCTATAACTCTGTAGGGTTGGGGTTATTCCCGTTTTATAGACAAAGAGACAGACTCAGAGCTGTTGAGGAACTAATTTGCTCAAGGTCAAAAAGCTGGCGTGGAACAGCGGAGTTTTAAATATAGGGTGGCGGTGACTCTGTGCCACACCCAACCAGCAGGGTTGTTGTGATCACACAGGTGACAACTTGAAAGTCACGAGGAGCCATCCTAGCATCCAGAAGGCCTTTACCTAGAAAGGTGCTCAGTCCCCTCTGCTGAGAACAGGGTTCCACTCCCTGGTGTGGTCTGTCACCTGTGGACATCTCTATTGATTTTTTTTTTTTTTTGCGGTACACGGGCCTCTCACTGTTGTGGCCTCTCCCGTTGCGGAGCGCAGGCTCCGGACGCGCAGGCTCAGCGGCCATGGCTCACGGGCCCAGCCGCTCCGCGGCATGTGGGATCCTCCCGG